AGTAGAGACGGGGTTTCACCATGTTGACCAGGATGGTCTTGATCTCTTGACCTCGTGATCCACCCGCCTCGGCCTCCCAAAGTGCTGGGATTACAGGCTTGAGCCACCGTGCCCGGCCCACGGTCTGAAATTTAAAGGAACAAATACTTTGAAGGTCCCTCTAGATAGGGACCCCAAACCAAACTTTCCCTGTAGTAAGCTGCGTAAGTACAGGTGCAAAGACGGGAAAGTAGCTTGCAAGAAAGATGAAATGGGGGTCTGCCAAAGTCAGGAGGCCCAGGTTCCCATTTCAGCCCTGCAAGGAATTTGCTGTGGAATTCTGGGCCTACATTTCACCACCGATAGCAGATACCATGAGGACTACAGACCAACACTGTGATTTTCCAGTTGCTTTCCAATCTGTTCTGTCTGAGAGAGAAGATATGTCCCCTTCCACTGACACAACCAAGTGAACGTGTGTGGGGTATTATCAGGCACTCCCCTTACCTGGGGAGCGTGTGCAGTAATACTTCTTCACTATATCCCTACACTGGTCACACTTGACCGTACAGCACCACTGGAATTTGCAGTTACAGCTGCTTATGACCTCAGTTCTCCTCTCTTCCACCTGCAGTCCACACTCAGTGCACAGGCTCCCACAGCTACATTGCTCCCACCTGGATGTGTTGTGGCTGTTCTGTAGGCACTCGCGACCCTCTGTGCCATAGATGCCCAGGCTGGAATTGTGGGTACAGTAATCTGGCGATTCCTCTAAAAAGATCAGTTCCGTCTCTGCACTAGGAAGGAAGGCCTCAGAGGGTGCCCAGTGGCTCTCGGCGCTGTTCCCAGCTCTCAGTTGCCGCTTATCCATTTCAATTTTCAGTGCCCGGTCATACTTGGCCTTCAGGTAGTCTCCCATCTCCCGGAAGTCAGCTAGCTGCAGCCAGCATGTCTGTACACTGCAGCTCCCTGAGATGCCATGACATTTGCAGGTCCTTTTCAAGGCGGCTCTCACTGCCTTCACAGAGAGAACATAAAAAAGAGAATGGCTCTGAGCAGGGAAGACCAAAGGTCAATGATTAAAAAGAATATGTTAGAGCTGTGTTTCTTAACTTTAAAGGAACATAGGATTATTGGGGAAGCTCATGAAAAATAGTTGTTCCTGGGCCCTATCTCAGATCTTCTCAATGAGGATATTCAGGGTGTTAAGGACCTGGGACTGGTGATTTTAAAGCTTCCATGGGTGATTCTGATGGAGAGCCAGGCAAGAGCTGAGAATGTTACTAGAGCCCAAAAGCCTCTGCTCCAGGCCTAACTCTATCACTTGTAGAGCTTTTCTCTATCTGCCCAGCTGGAGCACTTTGGGAGGCTGAGGTGGGCAGATCACAAGGTCAGGAGTTCAAGACCAGCCTGGCCAACATAGCAAAACCCGGTTTCTACTAAAAATACAAAAAATTAGCTGGGTGTGGTGGGTGGGTAGGGCACCTGTAATCACAGCTACTTGGGAGGCTGAGGCAGGAGAATCAGTTGAACCCGGGAGGGGAGGTTGCAGTGAGCCAAGATCACACCACTGCAGCCTAGCCCAGGCAACAGTACAAGACTCTGTCTCAAAAAAGAAAAAAATTGAATATAGTAATGATCAAGGAAATACTCTGTAAATTACAAAGGAAACTGTGATAATTGCCACAGTTATTGTCTTGAGGCTGGGGGTGAGAATATTTCCAGGACAAATATTGGATTTGTCTTCTGGGTTCTTTCTGAGAGGGGAGGAAGCTTCTTGAGTTTGAACACTTATACCCCCAAGGCAATGAATTTCCCATGGTCGTACTTGCTTAAAAAACCTCTTCCTGGCTGGGCGCAGTGGCTCATACCTGTAATTCAGCCCTTTGGGAAGCTGAGGCAGGTGGATTGCCTGAGCTCAGGAATTTGAGACCAGCCTGAACAATAAGATGAAATCCCGTCTCTACCAAAATACAAAAAATTAGCCAGTCATGGTGGCATGTGCCTATAGTCCCAGCTACTCAGGAGGCTGAGGCAAGAGAATTGCTTGAACCCAGGAGGCAGAGGTTGCAGTGAGCCCAAGTTCGTGTCACAGCACTCCAGCCTGGGTGACAGAGTGAGACTCTGTCTCAAAAAAAAAAAAAAAAAAAAAACCTCTCTTCCTGGCTGGATGCAGTGGTTCATGCTTGTAATCCCAAGACACTGGGAGGCTAAGGCAAGAGAATCGGTTGAGTCCAGGAGATTGAGACCAGCCTGGGGAAACCCCATCTCTACAAAAGCCACAAAAATTAGCCAGGCATAGTGGCAAGCGCCTGTAGTTCCAGGTTTTCAGGAGGCTGAGGTGGGAAGATGGCTTGAGCCTGGGAGGTGGAGGTTGCAGTGAGCTGAGATGGCACCACTGTACTTCAGCCTGGTGACAGAGAAAGACCCTGTCTCAAAAAAAAAAAAAAAAGAAAAACCCCAAACCCAAAAAAACCCCTTTCTCCCTTTTCCTGGGCAACCAGGACATCTAGGCACAAGTTGACAGGGAAATTTCTATGCTCTTAGCTCGAAACCCAACTTGTTTCCAGATTTGTATTCAGAATACTCCAGAGATTGCCACCCCACTAGAAGTCTTGGGGGAGAGTTAGACACTCCAGAGAAGCCTAGATCAATCCCAATTCCCCACAACCCAGACAGACTTTAGGACACAAGGCTGGACAACAAGGCCCTGTTAATTTACTAGAACATGCAGTTGAAGTGATAAAAAATGTAAGTCATAGAAGCAAGGCCTTGATTGTGTGTTCTCAGACGCCCACCTATAGAGGGGCAGAGCCAGCAGATAATGACAAGGGGACTTGACGGGAAGATCTAAGTTCACTGCCTCTCTCTGACACTTATTAGTTGCCTTGGACAAGCCAGTTGGCTCAGACTTCATTGGCTTTGCCATCCAGAGAATGAGGGTAGTCATCTCAGTCCTGCTGGGTAGTATGAGGAAAGAACGTATAAGACGGCTCTTGGTAAGTTGTGAAGGGTTGCGCAGATGTGAAGCTGTTGCCAACACCAGCCACAACTCGTATACCCACCAGTCTGCCGGCCCTGTTGTTGTGAAGATTCATCAGGGCTCTGGCATCCTTCCCCTTCTCCAAACTGTCCACAAAGAGTTTGGAGATCCTTTCCCCAAATTCCACATTGTCGCTGCAGCCTCCCCAGATCCAGCCATGGCCTCCTAGATATCAAAAAAGAATAAGTTCTCCATGTATCTCCCTGCTAAGTCCCAGTCACCTGCCAAACCATCCCCAAGAGCCCTAGGAGTGTAAAGCTATGGCTGAAGGTAAGACAGGGAAATGGAGGTGCTTGGGGTGGGTGGGAGGAGTCCTGTTGCCAAAGCCAACTGCCCAGCCTTTAGACACGTCCTAGCCATCAGCAATTTGTCTTCTATACCCACTGTAAAAGTAGGCACACTGGGGTGACTTAGATGCTCTCAAAGGTTCACTGCAGCTCAAACATTCTGGAATTCTGCACCATTATTCTACAATCATCTTGTAAAAGCCTCCGTCATTAGTGGTAAATCTGAGGAAGTGTCTTAGGTGGTCTGCAAATTGTTGAGTGGCTGTGGATTATGGATGAGCCACTCCAAGTTTGAAATACCAGGGCTAGC